ATCGGCGTGATGTGAGTCAAGGTGGAGTGGGGTCGGCTAGGGAAGGGGCGTGAAGGCGGAGATGCGAGCCCGAGAAATTGATAAGAGGTGCTCGCTCTCTAGCTTCACCGTGACACGACGCGACGACGGTGGAAAATAGAGGGAGAAAGAGGGAAAGAGAGAGACGGCGTGACAGGTGGGCTTGGCTCGTCCATGCCTTGGCAGGACTCGAGCGGTGGGCTCGGGAGGCCCACGCGCTGGCGCTACGGACCATGTGTGCGCGCATTCGACTGGCATGGCTCGTGTGCCGCAGTGCCATAAATGGCATGACGACGGTGGCTCGCCCACGTTTGCGCGGCAGAGGCGACACGCATAGGGCTGGCAAAAGCGAAGAGGTGCAGCGGATCAGCGTCGATGCGACAACGACACGACGGTAGTGTAGCGTGGCTGCGGTGGCACCCAAATGGTAGTGCGAGGCAGAGCAGCAGGGCGCAGGGCCAGCGGCTCGCTGCGGCCGGCCTTGGCCAAGCCCAAGCGGCGCGACGGCAGTGGCAGCAGCGCGACACGGTGGCAGGACGGCCAGGCGCAGGTGAGCGGTGGGCACGACGGCTCATGGTTGGCGGCGTGCCCACCGCGGCCAGGCTGCGGCAGCAACAACCAGCCAGTGTGGCCACGTGCACGCGTGGGCGGGCGCCCAACGCACCAACGCCACGACGTCGGGGTAGGATGGCCTGGTGACTACGCCCAACATAAGAAGACGTCCCGAGTTCGTGTTATGCACGAATTTTAAAGCGTTCGAGACGTCTAAACCGTTGATCCAATCCCTAAACTAATTTTGCTATACCTTAGAGGGTATATTAGGCTACTAAAACAAGCCATAATACTACCCTACTCCTTAACCCAATCTCTCACAATAAATTGCTAAACACAGCAATGTCTAGCGGTCGACAGACTTGAAAATTTCTAAGTTCTAGAGCTGAATTTGATTTCCATTTGCGATTTCTAAGCTAGTGGAAATATTAGCTACTAATATCATTTTTCAACCACAAGTATTTCACTGTCATCTATAAAGTTTGTACTTCAAACTTTATTTAAGTATCACATACATGTTCTATTGCATTTTTGCTTAATAAAAATTGGTTTTAAACCCTAAGTGATATAACATGACTATCGAATCAACTTTTGCTCCGTATTTTAGTTGATCATTTTGAGTTACATAAATTAGTCTACACACTTTATCACTTGCATTAACACATAAACATGATGCTCATTAATGTTTTGGTAAATGATTTACGGTATAACACCGAGGGTGTTACAATCTCTCCACCAAAAGAATCCTTTGGCTTGCACACAGTCCTTCGCACCCAAGTCTTGCTTCGATCTTCACCTTCTATCCATACGAGACTATGTAATGTCCCATATACAATAAGCTCGTTCTTCCTTGATCAAGTCATCAACCTTCACTAGTTGAGCACTTGCATCATATGCACAAGCCATATGTCCACTATTGTATTATACCATCGGTATGTTTGAGCAAAGATAGTTGCACTATATACAGATCACATGGAATGAAATCTATGTTGTGAGTCTGACCTTAGTGACAACTTGAAAAAAAATCGCTGTAACTAAAGTCATGAATGCATCTTTGAATCTATGGCCACTCTTTGATGCACTTAGGTTAGGCTATAAGCATTTAGAAAGTGCAAAAGTGCCCTGATACTTCCCGCTTGCATTACTGCATATGGCAAGTAGTATCTTCCTATTCATGAATTAGTAACTGAAACTCCTTTCTATGTGGATGAAAAGGTGAAATCAAACCCCCAAAGTTAAGACTGAAGATCTGAACAAATCTTATGTGCAAATGCTAGTAAAGCGCAATTGAGAATGATATTGGTGCTGAGAATTTTGGCAAGCCACAGCACCTGATGCGAGGCCCAGGCGTGGCTTGCACTGCCGGATGAGGTGGGCCGCCCTCTCGATAGGTGCTTGGGTGGGGTCGTGTACCTGTCGCCTCCCATGCATTCATGGCTAGGCACGTGGCCCAATCATGACCATGATTGCCCAGGTGCGGGTCGTCCTATTGGATGGTCGGTCGCCCTCCGCCTCTTGACGACCAGATGGGCTAGGCCAGCCACCTCTGGCCCACCACCTCCCACGAGCGGCCAAGTGTGGCACCCAGTTAAGGGTGTGATTCACCCTCTTCCCGCTACCTGAGACCACCTGACTAGCTCCCACGCACGGCCGCCAAACTTTGACCCGCCGCCGCACAAGGAACCAGGGTTTTAGATGGGGATAGGGATAGGGAGCTCTCACGTGAATGGGTAGGGTGATTGTGATGTCTATTGAGTGTGGAAGAGGCAATCTTTTGGATGTGGTCCTGCTATCAAGCCTTAGGGGCTGGCATATTGTGCATTAAAATTGGACGGAGTACAATGCCATCATGTGGGCCTATGTCAGGGACACAATTTTGAACGAAATTCGATGGAGTGGTAGTGAGGGATATGAAAATTTCATTTGATGGCAGTGAAGGGAAATGAAAAATTTGGATGTCTTTGTGGGAAGCCCTATAATTTTCGATGGCATCGAGGGAATTGGCTCAAACCCTTGTGCCAAGTTTGTGACCCCTTTCTTATCTCTGACTTATTGTTTTTAAGTTTTTGCATTTACTTTATTGCAACCTTGTATGCCTTTACTTTTGAGGTGTAGCTTGAGAGGTATTTAGCTCTAGGTTGAAAAATTCTTTACTTTTGTGGGAGTAGTTGACAGATATATATTTAGCTGTAAGTTGAAAAATTCTGTGACAATGGGTAGACACATTACATAAACCATAGTAGCACACATCGAGATAGACCTAGATAGATTTATCTTAAGCAAAGTTTATTTTAGTACGAGCGTAGGTTATTTTTTAAGAGTCCTATAGCTCAACCCCGCTCAGATACGCTCCCTTCGCTATTACAATGTGGGGCCCATCAAGTTGCTACCCTTTCAGGAAAAAAATGCTACAATCAGATCAGCTCACTTGAACGGTAGCCATGCATGCATGCAAATGACATCAAGAGAGGAAAAAAGGATAGCAGGATACTCAATGGTGCCATACTGCCATTAGTGTTGTCATTTGGATTTCTCGATGCAAATTCTGCTAACAACGAAAAAAGTTGAAAATAGTAAATGGTGCCATACTTCCTATATAAATCAATTAAGATCAGAAGAATTATCCTCGTTTCCAAGATATAAACAAAATAAAGATGTACTTATCGGAGCTCTACACGCCTTTTACCTACGAAGTTGACAGCCGCTTCTCGAGATTTAGCATTATATATTTACCTGACAGCTATCAAAATTATATATTTACCATTCCCGTTTGTACTTTGACAGTGGTGTTTGTTGCTAGTGGGGAAGGTAATAAAGCTAAAATTAACCTGACGGCTTGGTGGTTGGTGTTGCGAATATTTGTCATGGCACGGCTCTTCACACAATGAACCGGCTCGGTAGTTGGATGCCAAATTCACTTTCTACTTCTTTCGCAAGGGAAAAAAAACGTCCCTTTCTACCTTTCTATAGAAAAAAGTGACAGTCCAGTGGTTTACTTATTAGCACCTAGCATATACTCCAACAGGAAAAAAACCATATAGTAGTACTAATTAAGTAAAGAACTCAAGAAAATCTGTGCGGATGGGATAGTGATGATGACATGCATGCTGAGCTATCGGTACATAGTTTTTTTTTGGCACAGATAACTGGCAAGTATAGCGAGATATATATTATATGATTGATCACAGTATATAAGAATTATTGTCTGTAGTTAAATACTCCCTGTTCCAAATTATAAGTCATTCAACTTTCTTGGAGTGTTAAAGTATCTCAAGTTTGACCAAACTTATAGAAAGAATTACGAAGATTTATAACCTTAAATAGTTATACTATGAAAATATAATTAACGAACGAAGAATCTAATGATACTTATTTGGGATCATAAATGATATTATTTTATTATGTAAATTTGATCAAACTTTAAATGCTTTGACTCTAAAAAATGTTGAAATGACTTATAATTTAGAACGGAAGGAGTATATCCAATAGCAAGGATAATACTAGTGAGTATAGTGACTATTTATCGAAACTTTGTTACACAGTTCTAGTGTACTACTACATCTGTGTATTAACGTTTCGAGTAGATATAGCAGTTTCTTTTTGCTCTGATAATATTGAGGTGAAAAGTTAAGAACGGGATCAACAGCTTCGAGGAGGCGCTTAATTTGCCTCAGTTGTTGTAGACGTTCTATCCTTCATGTACTGTACAGTTAGTCGCTAGCTTGTACGGCAAATATAGGATAAATAAGGTCAACAATGCAAGCTGCTAATAACCATGCATTCAAAAGCACGAGCGTAATAAAACACACGAATTACCAATTCCTGAGAAGCTTAAAGGTAAATTGTGGCGGCGTGCTTTTGGACGTGGCGGCACAACCGTGGAGGGTCACGTCCTGTCATTTTGTTTACTTACGCTACGAAGAGGCCAAGGATACAGACGCAGTAGACAAGGAAGAAGTCACCGTGCATGCCACAGGGGCATGGTGATTCATCATGGACGAATAACAGTCAAGGAGACATGCATGTAGATACGGGCAAATATCATCAGGAAAAACACAGCTGGTTGGTATAGCCTAGCGAGCCAGAAATCAAGTCAAACCTCAGAGCTTTGACCAGGCATAAGCATGCATGAACCAAACCCATGTTCTGGGACAAGTTCAGTACACAAGAGCTAGCATCCGCCGCATCACATGTGTATATATATATAGAGCCCTAGTTACTTTCATGTTGCAAGAACATAAAGGAAGCCGGAGCTAGCATCCATAGATAGCAGCTGTGCTACTCTAGCTATTGATCAAAGAGTAACAAGAACCAGATTAGATATAGATAGCAGCTGATCAGCAAGGATATCTAATCTGAATCAAGCAAGCACTTATTGTTGCATGCCGACTAGCTCTACATCGTTGGTGGTGCAAGAAGAACAACACTACATGGCAAAAGAGATCATGGCTGGTGGCGACCATGGCGAAGGAGACGAGGAGGAGGAGGAAGACATGCTTCCCGGGTTCCGGTTCCACCCCACTGACGAGGAGCTGGTCACCTTCTACCTCCGGCGGAAGGTGGCCGGGAAGCGCCTTAGCATCGAGATCATCAAGGATTTCGACATCTACAAGCACGACCCATGGGACCTTCCAAGTAAGTAGCTAGCTAGCTAGCTTGATTATGCAATATACACAAAATCATGCATGTGTGATGATTACTCTACTACAATTTCATGCAAGATCGTTTTTTATATGCTTGCAACAAATAATTCATGCATGAACTGAATGAACAAATAAAAATTGTTGCTTGGATTGGAGATATAAACTTTGGACTTTGGAGCAATATAATGATGGATAACTGATCACTGATGCATGCATGTTTGCAGAGTCGAGCTCGATCTCGGGAGAGAAGGAATGGTACTTCTTCTGCCTGCGGGGGAGGAAGTACAGGAACAGCATCAGGCCCAACAGGGTCGCCGGCTCCGGCTTCTGGAAGCCAACGGGCATCGACCGCCCCATCCATTCCGCCCCCTCCGGCCGCTCCGGTGACCCCATCGGCCTCAAGAAGTCGCTTGTGTTCTACCGCGGCAGCGCCGGCAAGGGCACCAAGACGGAGTGGATGATGCACGAGTTCCGCCTCCCGCCGCGCGCCGAGAACGCCCACACTTCGCCCAGCGAGCAAGAGGCGGAGGTGTGGACCATCTGCCGGATCTTCAGGAGGAACTTCACCTACAAGAAGCACCCGCAGCAGCAGGTCACCGGCAGCAAGGTGTCCGCCGCCGCGGCCGTCGTCGTGCAGCCCGGGGAGTCTATCTCCGTCACCGGCAGCCTCGAGTCGGACACCGGGGACGAGTACACGAACGACCTGCCACAGCCCCCTCTGCAAGCTCCGGCGGTGATAGACGACTACGACTACGGCTACGGCTACGGCCAGCAGCACCAGCAGCCGCTTCAGCAGGCCCAGTGGAACAGCCACGCGCTGCATGCAGCGGCCACGGCGCCGCTGCTGTCACCGACGATGGCCGCGTTCCACCACGGAGTGCTCAGTAGCCCTGCTGTCGGTGGGCTAGACGACATGTACTACAAAGATGGGTCCAGCTGGGACGACATTGGCAGGATGGTGATGGAGCTGACGGCCCCAGCCCGATGTCACACCCGATTTTAAGGGTAAAATGGGATGCATAATCTTATGTGCTCTCATAATCAGTCACACACATAAGCCGATAAATTATAAATAGTATCATTATAAGTGTTTATTATATCACAAATAATAAGACAGAGTCTTCACATAAATATAGCGGAAGTATAAAGATAAATCTCTCGCGGAAGCTCCATATCACAGGGACGTCAACTGGTTGACCACAAGTCTAGTCATCCTCGGGAAAGTCGTCATTGGCATCGCCATCTGTTACCCATCCAGGATTTTTATCCAAATAATGAAAATAAACAAGCGTAAGTACGTGTCGTACTCAACAAGTGTAACATGGGGTTCATGAGGGTCAAAAGGCTTGACACAGATTTAACAACATTTAGCTTTTAGTTGTCATAATTTTAGCATAAGAGTAGTAACAAGTTGTTTCAATCCCAAAGTAAAACACATGATCAATGTAAACATGAATAATGAATAGCATAAACAGATAATTCTTTGTTCACCCATAAATTGCTCACCGTCTATACTCGATAACCATAGCAACATACAAGCATCCAGAAGCAATCATGCATAGCAAACAAAAGCTATAGATTAGAACAGTACACTAACAGCATAAAATCAAGATGAAAAGTTTCTAAAATAAATCTACATCTCGCTACGAACCCACAGACACGAAGATCAAAAAATCGAAGCTAAAATGAAGAAGTTATGAATTAAAGAAGATTTTCTTTAGTAAAATAATAGATTAAATCTAACCTCAAATTTTAAAAGTTGAAAACATATCTAACAGTAGTATGAACATGTAGATTATAGAATTACGAACCTAACGCAAGTTGAATGGATCAAATCGGAGTTAAAACGAAGATTTTATGGCATACAGAAGGTAGTGGCAATTTTGTAAATAGATGAAACTTAATTTTTTGAATTTAAATAAATAAAATCAAATTTTAAGGGTACAATTTAAAGAAAAGATAGGGGCTTTTTAGAATAAGTTTAGGGATGGCAGGTTGAGATCCAAATAATTATAAGGACCTTTTTGCAAAAGCGACCGACGAAGGGGTATTGGGTGATACCGGCCGTTGGATTAGACCCGGGCGGCCAGGATTGGTTCAGGAGGGGGAAGTGGCCGGTGGTGAGCTGGACTGCGGCGGCGCCATGGCCGGAGCGGGCGGCGCAAGCGATTCATGGCCTACGATCCACGACTGAGAGAAATAAGGGCACGGGGAGACAGAGGAGATCAAGGCGAACTCATCGAGACCAAAAACAAGAGCTGGGGACCGATGATGGCGCGCGGCGGCTGCTCGAACCCAACGATGGTGGTGGAGCTTAGGGTTGCGGTGTCTGCAAGCTCTGGGTGAGGGCGGAAGCTTGCTCTAGGGTTAGGTAGGAGAGCGACGTGGCACGACGCTATTTATGAGGGCGGAGCAACGTGGGAAGCACGCCTAGACGTGGCGTGGCGGAGGTGGAATCGGCTGCGTCGGTAGTGTCCTGCTCGGACACGAGCCAAAGGAAGAAGGTGACCCTGACAAGGCGGGCCCACCTGTCGGCAAGAGAAAGGAGAGGAGGGCGCGGGCGGCATGGCTGGCTGGGCCACAGCTGGGCCGGCTTGCTGAGCGCGGGAGAAGAAAAGGCCGAGCGGGGCGGCTGGGCATACGGAGGAAGGGCGGGCTGACTGGGCTAGCAAGCCGTGAATGAGAGAGGGAGAGAATTTCTTCTTTGTTTTCTTTTCTAATTCTCCAAACAAATTTTGAATTGCAAATTCGAATCAATTTGAAGTTTGATTTCAAACCACACAATACAAAAATAATATGCAGCAGCATAAATGCACATACATGTTTGTGAACCTATATTTGATTTTATTTTTAAAAAAGTTATTATTTTTTTCTAAATTTAAGTGCTCACAAAAGGCATAATTACACATTTCTCCTATTTCAATATCATGCAAAGTTTAGGGTGTTACAATTCTACCCCCTTAAAATGAGTCTCGTCCTCGAGATTCGGACAATGCTTACTCAAATAACTACGGGTTTGTTTTTCTCAGATCCTCTTCTCTTTCCCAAGTAGCCTCATCTTCTGTATACCAATTCCACTAAACCTTACACATCTTTATAACTTGGCTCCTCGTAACCCTTTCTGCCATTTCCAAAATCTTTACCAGAAATTTCTCATATGTAAGATCTTCCTTAACTATAAGTTCCTCTAACGGTATCTGCTCCTCAGGTACACACAGACACTTCTTTAATTGAGACACATGGAACACATCGTGTACACCTGACAAACTCTCAGGCAATTCTAACTGATAAGCAACTTCACCACATCTCTCTAAAATCTTGAAAGGTCCAATATACCTTGGTGCTAACTTTCCTTTCATGTTAAACCGTCTCACACTTCTCATAGGTGATACTTTTAGGTAAACATAATTCGCTATTTCAAAAATCAATTCTCTTCTCCGAGTGTCAGCATAACTCTTCTGTCGAGATTGTGTCACTCTTAAGTTATCTCTAATTATCCTTACTTACTCTTCTGCGTCTCTTAAAACATCCGGTCCAAACACTTGAGTTTCTCCCATTTGATTCTAAAACAACAGGGTTCTACACTTTCGTCCATACAAAGCTTCAAAAGGTGTCATATTAAGACTGTTCTCATAACTATTGTTATAAGAAAACTCTGCATAAGGCAAACTCTTGTCCCAACTTGTACCATACTACAATGCACAAACTCTCAATATGTCCTCTAATATCTGATTAATCCTCTCAGTTTGCCCATCTGTCTGAGGATGATATGCTGTACTAAAATTCAACTTTGTTCCCAATGAACTATGTACTTGCTGCAAAAAATGAGATGTAAATTGAGTACCCCGACCAGACAAAATTTTCTTGGGAACTCCATGTAAACATACTATCTTCTCCATATATAATTAGGCTAACCTCGATCCATTATAAGTAGTCTTGACCGATATAAAGTGAGCAACTTTAGTTAACCGATCCACTATCACCCATATTGAATCGTAACCTCCATGAGTGCGTGGTAACCCAACTATGAAATCCATACCAACTTCTTCCTACTTCTATTCCGGTATCTTCATTGGTTATAATAATCCAGGAGGTCTTTAATGTTCAGCTTTGACTCTTTGACATGTATCACATAAAGCAATATATTCAGCCACATCCCACTTAAATCCATACCACCAATACTTCTCTTTCAGATCCAAGTACATCTTGGTACTCCCAGGGTGAATAGAGTAGGCGGACTCTTGTGCCTCACGTAGAATTGCATCCCGTATAGCCTTATTCTCAGGCACACACAGTCTTTTCCCAAACCAAAGAGTTCCATTTTCATCCATATGGAAACCTGGTGCCTTGCCAATCATTATGTTCTCCACTATCTCCTTTAACTTCACATCCTGTAACTGGCCCTTGCATATCTCTAGCCCTAACGTAGGTTCTATCACCAACTCCACTACATTAGTGACAAAGCCCAAGTTCAATTGCTCAAATTCTGTACACAGCTCACTTGACATAGGTGCCACTTGCACCTTATTGGCATAACTCTTCTTACTAAGAGCATCGGCAACAACATTCGTTTTTCTAGGATGATAGTGTAACTCCAGATCATAATCTTTAATCAACTCCAACCATCGATGCTGCCTCAAGTTCAGATTTGTCTGGATGAATATGTACTTTAGACTCTTGTGATCAGTGTAGATATCACTCTTATGTCCAATAAGATAGTGTCTCCATATTTTCAAAGCATGAATCACTGCTGCTAACTCCAAATCATGAGTATGATAGTTTAGCTCATGCTTTCTCAACTGTTGGGATGCATAGGCCACTACTCTTCCTTCTTGCATCAGAACACATCCGAGACCTTGACGGGATGCATCACAATAGATCGAAAAGTTCTTACTCAAATATAGCAAAACCAATACTGGGCTGTAGTCAACCTCTTCTTCAATTCCTCAAAGTTAGCCTGGCACTTCTCAGACCACACAAACTTAGCATTTTTCTCCAATAGAGCTATCATAGGCTTGGCAAGTTTAGAGAAACCTTCTATTAGCCTTCTATAGTATCCAACCAATCCCAAGAAACTACGAATCTCTCCCACATCGATTGGTGGTTTCTAATTCAACACATCTCTCACCTTGCTTGGATCTATTGTTATTCCACCATTAGAGACAACATGGCCTAGGAAAGAAACTTCCTTCATCCAAAACTCACACTTGCTTCGCTTAGCATACAACTTGTGTTCCCTGAGCTTCTGCAAGACCAACCTTAGATGTTCAGCGTGCTCTTCTTCCATTTAGGAGAATACCAATATATCATCGATAAATACCACCACAAACTTATCCAGAAACTCCATGAACACCTTATTCATTAAGTACATAAAGTATGTAAGCGCATTGGTCAAACCAAAGGATATAACGGTGTACTCATATAAGCCATACCTCATAGTAAAAGCTGTCTTAGGTATGTCAGTTGCACGAATCTTCAACTGATGATAACCAGAACAAAGATCAATCTTAGAGAAAACACAAGCACCTCTCAACTGATCAAACAAGTCATCAATTCTAGGTAGCAGGTACTTGTTCTTGATAGTAACCTCATTTAGTGACCAATAATCCACACACATTCTCTGAGTACCATCCTTCTTGTCTATAAATGTAATTGGTGCTCCCGGAGGTGACGAACTAGGACGAATAAAACCTTTCTCCTGTAACTCCTTTATTTGTTTCTTAAGTTCCTCTAATTCATTAACCCCCATTCTATATGGGCGCTTAGCTATAGGTGCAGTTCTAGGTAATAATTCAATAATAAACTCAATATCATGGTCAGGTGGCATACCTGGTAAGTCATCGAAAAACACATCTGGAAACTCATCCACCACTGGGTCCTCCTTGTTGACGCTATCATCAAGCTGGTTCACTGTGGCTATCGGCTGGGCTTGTACTACAACATCGACACTGATTCTTT